CTCCTCCACTAAAGCTTTTCCCAAACTCCAGCGGCTTTTCATTTAGGGAAATATTTTGAGTCTTTCCTCTTTGGCCATAAAACCTTGGCTCCATGAGGGCATCGTCCAAATCAAAGTCTGTGGGAAAACCAAGATTAACTGTATTTCCAAATGATACAGTTGCAACACAGTTAAAATAAACATTCCATTACAGAGGTGCAACTAGAGATTTCTACATCTTGGGCACAGATTTTACCCTAATTCCCTCCCACCTCACAAAATAAAAATTTCAGACCATGCCCAATTATTGAACCCTTTTTTTCATTCCAAACACTTTTACTAGATTTCGCATACTTATGCAATTTTGGGTAAAAATACAGTAGTTGTAGATGGATTAAATTTTCAGACTAATGTACAATGCCTCAGAGGCATTTTAAAGTACTTTCAAATTTGAGTCACTCAAGTAAAACTGCATCTTACTCTGCCTCTGTGCCCAGAGCAGCTATCCTTGCTGCTGTATTCTAGTTACACCTCTGGGCATCGATACCAATTAAACAGAGAATCACACAGACATTGATGTTCTGCCTTCACATTAGTTTATAGTGCCTCAACACAGAATATGCTTGCTGGGGAGAGAGGGCTGAAGAAATCAGTGTGCTGCCTTTTCATGGTCCAGTAAAAAGCTAGGGGTAGGCTGGGGTACCAGCTGTACTGGTTAACTGCAAAAAAGGGGCTGAACAGAATTACAAACCCTTTGGCAGATAAGACAGTTGACACATAGGTATTCCAACTGTGATACAATCACATTTTTATTTAGCCTGAACATTCTTAAAGGAAATCTGGCATGTCTAAAATATGGGGGCTGCCATTGCCGATACTGCCTCCTGAAATGTTAGCCGATTGGCTGTTCCCTTGATCTAGGTTTTATCTAGAAATACACACCTGAATAAAAGAAAAAAAAGGGAAATCTTGTTTATAGAAAGTGGCTAATAAATATTTTCAGGTCTAACTCCACATCATTAACCTGTGTACGTTGCTTTAAAAAAAAAAAAAACCCAAAAAAAAAAAAAAAAAAAAAAAAAAAAAAAAACTCACACAACACCAAACACGAGTTTCCTTGTCACACGGCTTTGAAACTTATAGCAGCTCTTACATAAACCTTAATATTAATTGGAAATAGTAAAGTGGATAATGAAAAAAAAAATCCACTTAAAAGTGTGACATTAGGACTTTTGGATGGTGGTGTGAGTTTTTTGTTGAGGACTATTGCTCCAGATTTACTCCTAGATTATTTGCAGGCTGCCTTTGATCATTTACTCATGAAAACAAAGGCTTTCCTACCTATAAAACTTGATGTTCTATGTTAAGTCATGTCCACAATAGGGACCCCAACTGAAAACCAGGGGACCCACTAAAGTTAAGACTGTAAAAATATTTAAAAGATTAGGATGATTTAGATGGATTAAATTCTATCATATCGATAATTTACTCTTTTTATAATCTATGAAACTAAATCATGCTGGTGGTTTTTGAGTAAAGACTTGGCAATACAAAAGATATGCCTATATACTGACGACCATAAGCCTTTACATCTCATTTTATCTACTTTATAACCACTGAATTTACAGTGGGAAAGAACTTTAAAACATAAAAAACTTTCTTAGCGAACACATCATTTAATCAAGATTTTAAGAAGGCATATTAAAAAAAAAAAAAAAAAAAAAAAAAAAAAAAAAAAAAGGGGCTGCATGATTTTCTCAACAGGACAAGGCAGCAACTCATCCTGATAGATTACCGGTTTATAACTTAACCTTTGCCAAACACAGAAAACAAGAAAAAAACGAAGTCCGATTTAAAATACGTTTTATCTATCACTCTCTCGTTAAATTTTTTTTTTTTTTTTAATACAATAAAGAATGATCAAATCCCATTAGTTTTTTGGGGTTTTTTGCCGTCTGTGCCCCCTTGGGAAGATTTTCTTTCACATCCTGTCTGGAGCGAGAAAAAAAAAAATATCTTTAATAAAAAGGATATCCTCTCAGATAATTGTCACAGGAACAAGAGTCATCACTGGATGACATCCTTTCAATTCATGTTCAGGTGACAACTTTGGATTTTCTATCTTCTCTCACTCAGTCCCGATGACAGGATATACAGTGAGGGAGATTTTCCCCACAGGGGATACAGACAGCAGTACAAACCTAACAGGTTTATTAATCTTTCCACACTGTATGCAAAGAAAAAATAAAATAAATTAAAAAAAAAAAAAAAAAAAAAAAAAAAACACACTTGGTTTAAGATACACTGTTAAAAATGATAAAGATACGAGCTCAAATTTCGTGACTCTTGAGGGAAAAATAATGGTTTTGAGTGAGTTTTATTTAAATGTATTTAAGTTAAAAAAAAATTAAGCTGAGTTTTTTTACTTTTAGATGGCATACCAATCTTTTATTTTGCCAATAAACATTTAACATAGGGTGCACCCATGCCATAGCATTCACAGAACATTAGAAGTTTTCTCAAGAGCAAAATTTCAGATAATTTGCCTTTGGACTATTTCTTAGATTAAAACATCATAATCCCACATGAACAGTGAAGGTAGAAGGTGGAAGGAGTAGTTATTTCTCAGATGAGCTCTTTAAAGTGATTGTAAATTTTTAATTTAAAATAATAAACATGTCTATAGATACCTGCTTTGTGCAGTAATTTGCACAGAGCAGCCCTGATCCTCCTCTTTTCAGGTCCCCTGCTAGTGCTCCTGGCTCCTCCTCTTCTCTGTGTGCCAATAGGAAGCCACTTCCTATTGTGGCATACCTGCAGGCTCCATAACAAGCCACACTGCCCGTGTCCATAGACACAGACAATGCAACTCAACCCATTTGGAAACTCGGGCACTGCCCGAGGGCCGGGGGTCAGTAGGGCGCCCCATGAGATGCCCCGGTACCTTTTTCATAGGCTTTTTTGAGTTTGGGCAAGGACACAGGGGCCCCATGATCCCCTATTGCCCCGGGGGCCCCATGAGTTGTCAGTCCGCCCCCGACTCAGCCCCACCCCCTCCTCACAGGAGTTGATTGACAACAGCAGGAGCTAATGGCTCCCTCTGTTATCAATCTACTGTGAAGAGGGAGAGAGCAGAGAGTCGCTGCTCTTGGGTACAGTGTTGGATCAAGACTGGGCTCAAGTATATAGGGAGGTCTGGGGGTGATCCTGTGGCACGGAAAGTTTTTTTACCTTAATGCAGAATGCATTAGTGTAAAAAAAAAGCCTCACTCTTTAGCACCACAAGCTTTTCTTTAGAAGAGCAGATACAAATATACAGGTACACAAGAGAAAGGAGCCTGCAGATTTAAACAGCTGGCTATATGAAATATATTTATATAGCCTTTTTCATGTTTAAACAATTCTCTTTTTTTAGACCGGAGGTAATGAAGATATACGGTATATGCAAGAACACTATTAAATGATCATTACAAGAGCTTAAGTTTCACAAATAAAGTTGATTTATGAGACATCATCTACCCAATCCAGCAAGGGCTCTTAGCCAGAGGTCTCCTAAATTTTAATACAGGGAAAACAAATGGTGAGGCAACTACAATCTATAAAAATTGAATATAGGTCTCTTAACCAGTGACTTGGTAGCCTTCCAGTGAAAACTGTACACTCACTTTATTTACATTAGAAGGCTAAAAGGCTGTCAAGTCACTGCTGAGAGACAGAATTGAGCGAGATAATGCTGCTAAGAATCCAAAAACTAACCAGAGGGTCATCTTCATTATAAACGTTGACAATGAATTACTCTGCAGTGCCCAAGCACTGGTCAGTGAAGATTTGTTTTAATATGTAAAATATTAAATATTCCATAGGCTGGCCATAGCTTCACTTTCAATGGAATCTGTGCCCATGCTATGCACAATAAAGTATTACATATTCTGAGTAAGCAGTGGAAGGACTTAAGCCATCACTCCCCTCTGTAGCTATAGGCATTGTGTAGAAATGAATCTTCAAATTCACAGCAGAGGCACTAAAATCTTAAGTCTTGTCTTAGTGCAACAGAAGCTTGGCAGCATTCCAGCTGTGTGATGTAAACACATCAGGTGTTTCTAAACTGTTAGAACTAGATTAAAATCTGCCTTTAGAGCCGATTCACACATGTGCAGTGTGGATTGAAGCTCAGGTTTCATAGATAACTGATACAGTAGTTGTTCAGTGGTCAGGTCAAGTTTACATCAGGTTCAGGACAAGTTCAGGTTAAAATTTTATCCTGTTCAAATGTGTGTGGTTTAGAAAAACGGTTCCCATAGAAATCAATAGCCTGTAATCCGCACCTGAAGCGGACCTCTTTTTCAATCTGCACTGAATCCATACTGCCAGTGCACTGGACATATGTGAACAGGCACCATAGGAAGCAATGTTATTCACATGTCATGTCATGACATGGAGTGCACTGGATGTGAAGTGTTATTCAAACAGAAGTTCAAACCAATCCGCATATATGGGAACCAGCAATTCGAGTCTTTGTTGTGATCTTTGAGAACAAATTACGTAAAAAAATAAAAAAGCACCTATATAGCCAGGGATGGCTTGCGCTTTTTTTTTTAATTTTTATTTCTAGTTGCCAAGATTTAAATACTTTAATGTACATAGTCTGGGCACATGTGCCCTTTAAAGTCAGACCCTCTAAAAATAATTCTTCATTCCAAAAAGCATATTCAGAGAATTTTGGACTCTCACAAATTAAAACACAGCTACTTCTCTTGGCACTATTAAGTACGAGGAGGACCTATCCAAAAAGTTGGAAAGCTATGAACTCTGGACCTCTCCAATCTTTTTAAGTCTTTTTACAATCTTTACTGTCCTATGAAGGCATTAACATCATTTGGATTGTCAACAATTTGCAAGCATAATTTAAGCAATTTCTGATTGGTCATATGATTCGGTACTTTGTTAAATTATATCCATACAAGCATGCCAAAATTAGTAGTACCCACTTTCCCCAAATAGACTTGAAGACATCTCCTTACCTGATTCTTTACTTGGAGAGGAGGCTGCTGGAGTCTTTTTCACAACGGCATAAAGAGGCTCTTCGCCTACAAAACAAATGCAAACTTACTATCCTGTTTAGGAAGAGTAAACAAATGTTGAATTGTATTTTACCGTAAAAAGGTAGAGTTCACCCCAAAAGGATTTACCAGTTTTGTGTAGACTTGATCAAGGAATGGCTTGCTACAACTTTTTTGGGACTCTGGTGGTGGGACTCTTCCCTCTACAGCAGTGGTTCTCAACCTTCCTAATGCCGCGACACTTTAATACAGTTCCTCATGTTGTGGTGACCCCCAACCATAAAATTATTTCCCCAGTAATTATAATTCATGAAGTGTCTTTTTACCTCCAATACTGCTGCTTTCAACACCGTAGCTGCTCTCTACACAAATCGGAAATATGTGTTTTCCCGATGGTCTTAGGCGACCCCTGTGAAAGGGTCATTCGACCCCCAAAGGGGTCGCGACCCCACAGGTTGAGAACCACTGCTCTACAGTATATAATAAATCCAGTGCAGACAGTTGTGCAGGTAGTGTTACAAACAGCCTGTGGTGTGTTCTAGGTCTAAGATCCAGGAGGAAGCTAATAGATTTGCTTGGCATAGATTGAGCAAAATATGTGTCAACTGCAAAAAATATAAAATAAATCTTGGGGAAGACGGGGGTCTTCTCCCTGGAGTACTATATGACTGGGCTTGACAAAGTCCACTCAAAGTGATCGACCCGTTCTTTGGGGAACTTATTGCTTAAGTCATAATTTTCTAACAAAATAAATACCTTAGATAAACTTGAATGTCATACAGTACACACACACACACACACACACACACACACACACACACACGCCCCAACGTGGATTACAAGAGAAAAAAAAAAAAAAAAAAAAAACACACCAAACAGCAACATTAAAAGTATTGGATTATCACGAATCACAAGTGATAAATTAACATGTGAAAGAACATCATTACATCATCAGAAAAATTACTTTCTGCCAGGTTCTAAACAGAATTACGCAAAAGTTAATTTACACAGGTCATAAGCTCATGATTGACAGAAAAGGATGGTTTCCCCCCCCCCCCCCCCCCCAATTTTCTTTTGTAGAGCTATGTTACATGATAATGGAAATGTGGTGCAAGCAGAATTCAAAGCAAAACTGGACAAAAAAAAGAAAAAAAAAAAAAAAAAAAGTTTGTTTTGAAAATGTTATAATTTGGAATTATGGTAGTTTTCATTTTTGCCCACATATTCCTTAAAAAAAAAAAAAAAAAAAAAAAAAAAAAAGGAAACATGTAGCATAGCTTTCTACAATTACACAAATGACACTTTCCATTTTGTAAGCAAGGACTGAATTGAAAAATGATACTTGGCGATGCAAACAATGTATATCATTAGCCAACAGCTGTATGTATGCGTGTTTGTCTCCCTGAGTTTAGATGTACCAATGATGAGCCATCTCTAAAACAACTCTGGAGAGAATGTATGCATGCACAAAGGTCTAATGGTCTGTGATGCAAAACATTCTGAATCCCTTACCAGAAGAATTATTGGATGGGGGTTCTATGCTTATGTCAGTACTGGCTTCCAGCCTTAACGCATCATTCTTTTTACTTAAATCTTCTTTTGGCGACAACTGATTCCTTTCAATCCCCAAAGAAGGTGGTTGCTCGATAAGGGAAGCTTGGTTTTCTAGCTTAGCATTTTGTTCAAGAATCTTAGTTAAAATTTCAGTAGCAGCAGAACCTCGGTCTAGTGTAGAGTCTTCAGAATAACTGTGCTCCTCGAGTCCATTACCTAAATCATTGAACGATAAACCTTTTTCCAAAATTCCATATTCACCGACTTCTCTGACACTGTATGGTTCTGGACTTGGAGAAGGTGGCCTCTGCTGAACTTTTTCAGAAAATCTTACTTGTTTGAGTCTGTCTGGAGTGTAATCAGAGGTTCCATCTTGTTCATCAAAGTAGTTATTCTGCCCAGCTTCAAGAATAGGGGAGCCAGGCAAAACAATTTTGTTTGGCTCAACGCTCTGAAATATCCGTATACTTTCAGAGTCTGTAGAGCTTGAACTTGACCTGCGTTTTAAAATTCCTCGAGGTTTGCCCGTACCATTAAAAGAGTCATCTCTCTTAAGTGTTGAGTTCGAGAGATCCTGTGGCTGACCGTTCACTTTCAAAGATCTTGGCTTTGGTACTGGAACCTGAACGTCTTGCTTCTGTGAATCATTGCCATCCTGAGCCCGTGGTGTGTTCAGAGTTCTGTTGTTTAGCTCTGGGTAAGGTAATTTCACACCGTATTTAGCTAACGACGACATGATGTCTGAAAAAGACATGCAAATAAGGCAAGAATGAAAAAAGGCAGCATGCATAACTCAACAGCAATGCATTAATAAAAAGGAAAGAGAAAGTAGGGAAGACGAATTATAAATAATTAAAGACAAGCTGATTTTTGCAATTCGCTTTTATTTATTTTTTTTAATGATTATTCAAAAAAATGATCACAATCCGAAAGAAAAAGAAATGCTGACAGATAAAAGCACATATAGAACAAGACAGAGCATAAAGCACAGCTGTTCATGCCAACCGTTGGTTACATTACACAGATTCCAGACATTATCTGCTTGAACAGTTCAGGGCACTTAGAATGTGTGTGAAGGAAAGACCACCAGCTATAAAATAATGCTCATTGCCACCTGCCAGTGTAAGTGATCAATTGCTGTTCAGAAAAACCTTAAAAAGTGGTTGTAAACCCTCATATATACCCAGTGAAGTGACTGGTCTCAGGTGATACACAGATCTAACATATCCTCCTACACAAGTTGTACCCATTTATCTATAGCCATCTTTTCCCTACATCTATTCAAAGTGCAAAATTTACACAGGATCTCTCAGCTCTGAAAATCAGGGGGGCAGCGAGTTGAAGTTATGTGAGGAGAGCTCTGGAAGCTAACTGAAGGGAAGGGACACCCACCCTTCACACAGGAACAGATCTGAGGCTGCCAATCACAGGCTGTGCTTTCCTGTCACCAATTTTCTCTTGATGTCAGGAAAACTTGCCAGAAGTGATTCATTCTCATCGCAGAGCAATGAGGCAGTGGACAGAAATGACACTTAATGCTCTGGATTGAGACACATTAAGTACACACTATAGAGAGATATGCTTTGTTCATATTTCATGTCTGAGGTTTACAACCACTTTAAAGCAGAACTCCAGGCAGATATAAAAGACACAAAAGAATGCATCTCTAATTTTTAATTTTTTTTATACTGTAAACCATGCATGCACCTGAATATGGTACCAGCCTCTTGCAGTCCATGTAAAGCAGATCTAAACCGACAGGAAGAAGCAGCACAATAAGAGAAGAGAGCAGAAGGATAAGCTCATCGTTCTTCTGCTTCTCCTTTCACAATGCAAATCACAGGCTGGGAGAGGGACAAGGCCTGTAAGTGTTAGCACACACACATTAATACGGTGACCTGCGTTTTTCTGCAATGGATTGAAGCAGGTCACCATTGAGCCATATAAAAATTGTTATGGCTTTCACACTGAAATTCAGCTGGGAGGTGCAGTGGCACACGGAAAGCACATCATTGTAGCGCACCATGGTGCAGTGCAGACACATGAATGAAGAGTCACTTCAAAAGATGTGACAAAGAAAAAAGTAAACTGTGCAATGCAATGAAAAGCTCACATCACTGCACTGAACTCAAACAACTGCCCACACACTAAAATGACGCATTTAGCTAGCAGCCAATGCCAACAAGCCCTTACTAGGCTGCAGCATAGAAAATCAGGTCTTCCCCTCCAAAACAGGGCTGTGCTATATTTTTTATTTATTTCAGCTACTTCTATAGAGAAAGAAAAAAAAAAAATTTTTTTGTAATTATATATATATATATATATATATATATATATATATATATATATATATATATATATATATATATATATATATATATATATATATATATATATATATATATATAAATTTAAATTATTTATATTGTACATTCACATCAGTCCCTAACCCTCAAGGGGTGTACAGTCTAAGGTCCCTAACTTACATTCATACATACACATACTAGGGCCAATTTAGACAGGATCCAATTCACCTACCAGCATGTCTTTGGAGTGTGGGAGGAAACCGGAGTACCCGGAGGAAACCCACGCAGGCACAGGGAGAAACATGCAAACTCCAGGCAGGTGGTGCCGTGGCTGGGATTTGAAGCAATGACCCTAGTACTGCCAGGCGGAAGTGCTAACCATTTAGCCACTGTGCTGCCCCATATATGGGCACAGTTTTGTGAGCGTCAGGACTGGTTAGGCAGAAATACAAATAATTTGTTAAGTAAACGTCTATTGTTATTTTTTTGCATTTTTGTATTTAGCACTTCGTTTGGAGTTCAGCATTAAAAGGTTATTTACAAAAAATAAAAGATACTGAGAACACAACTCTTTAAAAATTGGATACATACTGTATATCCCCAAGATTGACAGTAGGGGGAAATCTTTCCATTCTCACTGTTGGAACTGCTAACCATACAAATGTATAGATTCCTCACACTTTCACTATAGGAATGAAGGTTTGGCCATGTTAGAAGGGAGATTTTCCCCATAGGTCAAGAATTCTCATGCAATGAGCTCCTCCGACTGCCAGAGGGATTTGAGATTGTCCTTCAGCAAATCAAAACAGTCCCATGACCGAAGTCAAAAGCAGCACTTCCTTTTGATAGGCAGTATTGCCAGAATATTTAAACACCTGTTGAATCTCCCAGGGGGGGCCAATGCACATAGCACTTAGTCCTGTTAAAATGTGTGTGCAGTGGTTTCTAATTAAATTTAGATTTTTTTGTTCCTTCACTGCTGGCTGTAGCTCCATCCCATACTGAAGTCCAGTTTATAAGTGTTCCGATAGGCAGAAGTACAGCCAGCACTGAAGCCGTCATCTTTTAACTGAAATAAAAGCTATTGGAGCACAGACCTTTCTACCCACCTGCCGGCTATTTTGGAGCAGAGGAGAACGAGTACAGTTGTAATTGTTGGCTTGTGTTGTGAATGGCCACGCTGGAAAGCAGCACAAAAACACAAGCCCACAACACCACGGCAGCTACTACACTAGTCTTTAGTGTAGTAGCTAGCATGTGTTGTGGGATTATCTTTTTGTGAAGGACAGCACTGCTCTCCAGCGTGGTCAGACCCAACGCAAGCTGATCGTTACAAATGGGCTGCACAGTGGCTAAATGGTTAGCACTTCCGCCTGGCAGTACTAGGGTCACTGGTTCGAATCCCAACCACAGCACCACCTGCCTGGAGTTTGCATGTTTCTCCCTGTGCCTGCGTGGGTTTCCTCCGGGTACTCCGGTTTCCTCCCACACTCCAAAGACATGCTGGTAGGTTAATTGGATCCTGTCTAAATTGTCCCTAGTATGTGTACGTATGAATGTGAGTTAAGGACCTTAGATTGTACGCCCCTTGAGGGTTAGGGACTGATATGAATGTACAATATATATGTGTAAAGTGCTGTGTAAATTGACGGCGCTATAGAAGTACCTGAAATAATGTATTCGCTCTCCCCCGATTCTGTTGGTGGTCACACCAAGGTTCAACTGCCACCCAAGGCAAGAGAGTCAATCCCATTACTGGCCATTGAGAAATGGTGATTGGACCCTTGAGGATTTACAATTGCTAGCATGACATGACTCTAAGTAGATTAATAAACATACAGGGAGAAGTTATGATGATTCAGTATTTCAAAAACAACTAAACTCGCTCAATCAGCATTATAATAAGTATGGCCAAAGCTTTTATTGGTCATATTTCTCATGTGGGCTACAAGAGTGCACTTCTTTTGCATTCCTGTTACCCAGAATCAGCAAAATGCTAAAGTCCACTGTCAGCTGATGTTACAGAACCACTCCAGTCTCAGGATGTATACCACCCTGTCCACAGCCTGATGCAACAGTGAATGCTGGAGGGGCACAGCACAGAGACACTGACAGTCACTGCTCCCTGCTCAGAATGGACTGAAAACCGAGTGATCAGTGGTCATGTGATCGCTCAGTTCTCCGGTTTAGAGCTGACAAGGGACAGCTGCAGCAAAGGACTGAGGTTTTTTTTTTTTTTTTTTTTTTTTTTTTTTTTTTTTAACATTTCTTTGATTGCTTTCTCCACTAATCACACCATCCTGGATTCCAGGAAGTAAATGCTATATTAATCATCTGTCCTTACTCAAGATGGCTGCAGCTAGAAATGCTAAGAGGAATGGTGGGTGTTTTTCAAAGTGGTTGCTCAACAAAACAAAGCATGGAGACAAGGATGAATGAATTTGCTTTGAATGTTAAAAAAAAAAAAAAAAAAAAAAAAATTATTAAAATAGCATTTCCAGTCTTTGGAGCTCAGATGCACTTTAGTTCCACTTTAACATCTCTGAAAGAAAGTCAAGTGAGTGTTTTCTCCTGTGATAAAAAGGACTGGACATTATATAATGCAAAGTCCCTGCCTAGGGGGTCCTAAATATTTTCCCACACTGAACTTGTAGGCTAGTTTAAATATTTCCCCAAAACCGGATGTTAAGATATATTATTTTCCCTTGGGAAAAATAAATGTTCCTTTTTTCCCTAGAATGTATGATTGTCTAATAACGGAGTCTAAAATGACAACATTCTGAAAATTCAAATAATTTCACAACACACTCAAAATTTCTGAAAAAAACAAAAAAAGAACCAAACAACCCACAACTTTTCAGTACAAGTATTCATAAAAAAAACAGAGAAATACATTAAAAGACATACAAAATATACATTTCACTCTATATACGTTTCACTCTATATACAAAAACCTTGACCACACAATATTTTTACAGCAATTTGCATCAGCTTGCATTCATTACACATCATCAAAAGGAGTTAAAAAATATTCACAAATTTAAGTTCTTGTTCAGAAGCTCAAACTGAGTCAATAGGCAGTCAGCTCACTTGGCTGCAAAGTGCTGATCAGTGGACTGAAGCCCAATAAAGTTCTGCATATAAATCATAGATGACATGTTCACTCATTATGAGAACAATCATATACCAGGGGCGGACTGACCATTTGGAAACTCTGGCACTGACAGAGGGCCCAGGGACAGTAGGGGGCCCCATGAGATGCCCCTGGTACCTTTTCATAGGCTTTTTTTGATTTTGAGCAAGGACACAGGGGCCCCATGATCCCCTATTGCCCGGGGGCCCCATGAGTTGTCAGTCCGCCCCTACTAAAAACATTACATATTAAAAGATTTACAGAAGGAATACACCTAAAAGTAATTTATTCTCTAGGTCTGGAAGGAAGTTAGTAAAAGAAGAAAGGAGAGTTACTTTTACTGCCTCGTTTTTCAGCAAGGGGTCAGTAGAGCCGAATAGGACTGAATGCTCCATTAGTAGACATAGGGCGCCATTTACCAAAAATGCCAGAAAAAAAAAAAAAAGAAAATTCTTTATGGTCAACCAGTAAACTACAACTGTAGGAAACCAATTGTCATGGGGTCCAGCAGCATATTGTGCCCAATATTGCCTGGATGCATAATATTGCCAGACAGTAATTGCAAAGAAAAATCATTTCAGGGGGGAAAAAAAATAAGGAAATTTTACCAAGAAGTACAGCAGTTTGATCTTTAATAGCCATGCTGCACTGTGGACATCGGTTCACTTCACACCAGGGATATCAATTGTATTGTGTCACAGGAAATTACATTTTTTTTTCATAAACATGACCTGCAGGGCACCCATTGGCAGGCAAAGGTTAGATTTTTTATTTTAACCTGTGATCCTATTAGGAAGGAACCAGTCTTCCTTGTTAGGGCAGGAAGAGAAAATCTGCCCAATGTGGCCAAAAAAAACCAAAAAAAAAAAACACAAGCCACATGAGGGGAGTAGAGAAATATGGATTGCTGCAGACTGGAGTTCAGCTCTAAAGGGTTAGCTCACCTTTATGAAAAAACTGACTGGGCAGGTACAGGGTGCAAAAAAAAAAAAAAAAAAAAAAAAAAAAAAAACAAAAACAAAACAAAAAACACAAAAGCAAAACAAAAACAAAAACAAAACAAAAAAAACAAACAAAACAAAAAACACAAAACAAAAAACAAACAAAACAAAAACACAAACACAAAACAAAAAAACAAAAAAAAAAAAAAAAAAAAAAACAAAAAAAAAAAAACACAAAAAACCCCACAAAAAAACTGCAGCTTTGACTAAAGTTGGATGATGTCCTTGGCTATAGGTGTAGGCCATCTACACAACACCTGATGCCTGGCTGAAAAACTCCCAAAGATGGCTTCCTCCATCCTGCCTTGTTGCTAGGACATTGCTAGGACTACCAGCTGAAACTGCTTCTGCACTTGTGCAATCCACCATCTCCTCCGTTGCAGCATCATTGAGCTCAGAGAAACAACAATGAGGGGGGGATGCACATGCAAGTGGGACCGAATCAGAGCAATCCTAGCAACATGGCAGTAAGGGGGACACCATCTCCTGGAGTTTTTCAGTCAGGCCAAATGTAAGGTATGTAAATCGTGTACACCTGTAGCAAGAGTATTCTTCAACATTGTTTTTATCTACAAGCACCCTCTTACCTGAATTGGATGCTTTTTGAGAAGGGTGAATTTTTTTTTTTTTAGGCCTCATTACAGTGTGTGGCACCAAGCACCCACGTGCACAAGGTTTAGGCTGCATTCACACTTGAGCAATTTGAAGATTGAAGCTCGAAAAACTCAGACTTCAAAAAAAAAAAAAAAATCAATCGTTCTCTATGGTGCCTGATGACGCAGGTGTGAACAGATACCATAGAGAATAATTTTTTTTTTTTTTTTTTTTTTTTTTTAAGTTTGAGCGTTTTTCAAGCTACAAATTTGCTCAAGTGTGAATTCAGCCTTAAGGTTACAAGTATACTGTAAGATGTAGCATTCAAGTCTAAGCGTTTGGCACCCAGATTTAATATTTCATCCTGTTGGCATTTCACAAACTATACGATTGGATTGATCCCTATGGTAAAATGGACACATTTTTCATTTTGGATACAAATAACAGAAACGAGACCAAAAAGTGTGTTGAAGCCACAAGATTTTATGCCATTCTAGCTGGAGCAATACCTGACCAGCCAGCTATTTTCAGCAATCCATAGGCATTTATGGGCTGTAAGAGAACTGGTTCAAAGTGACAAAAACTACAATGCTTGTCGAAGAAATTTCATTTAAGCTGAAAAATTTCTTACCAGATTTAGGCTTTTCAGTCCCATTCATTTGAACATTTTCAGGATTCGTGCTTGGAGCTTCATTATTGTAGTCTATGTCATCTTGCAAGCCTTCAGAATTGAATGGATTTTGTCTTGCCTAACAAAAAACAAAAAAAAAAAAAAAAAAACAGAAATGAATACATTTAACAGTTGACAGGTTCTTTCAACCACACCTTTAAAAAAATGTTTTTTTAAAGTTTTGGATAGAGTAGAAAAGGGTTAAAAACATCATTTTTTTTTGCCATTGGTGTCCAGTTGGGGGAAGACTTCCCTTTCACTTCCTGCTCCAACAAAGTAACAAGAACGGAGAAGAAATCTCTACAAGCAATTCCCTACAGAGAGTTATCAGAACAGGTGTTCCCATGGGACGTTTTCTCCACAACTCAAAAATTTAGGATTTCCTACTTCCTGTCTTGGTGGTAATTGTCTCCAAGACAAATAGAGAGGGTAAATCACCTAGCAGAAACACTTGACAGGGGATCTAACCCTTCTGTACGCTGTATAAAAATTGCTCCCAGTCAGCGCTTAAATGCTAAAGGATACATTCAAATGTTAGCCAACTGTCCGGGGTTCCTTCACATGCTCCAATAGGACTCAAGCAGACAACAGTGCTCTTGGCCTTGGAGGAGAAAGGTGGTCTGGCCATATAGATGCATCAACATTATGTACAGCTGAGACAGTGACAAAGGGTTGCTTTACATGGCTTACAGTTGGTTGTTTATATCCAATGATTTGAGGGGATCCATACCTGGATGGATGCTGTGCTTTACATGAGGTTTTTCCCAAGTACCACTGGAGTATTTGAAGTATTTTAATAACGTTTTATTGAAGATTCTGCACAAGGCCAGCGGCTCTATGTTGCTTTTTTTTTTTTTCCCCTTTTTTCTTAAAATCTAAAAACTGTAATAAAAAAATTTGACTATACATACACTCTAAAAGGTCCCGGTCTGGGCTTCCGTACCTAGCAGCCTGGAGCAAGCACATAACCAGTGAGGTCTGATCAAAATGGCCGCCTTGGCGTATGCACTTCTAAACACAAAATCAGCAATGCCAGCTACATCTCTGTCATTGCAGGTTCTATTTTATGTCCTTGTTAGAATGGCCATTTATTAGGGGTGGGGCAAGTGGAAGGTGCCTCCCTCAGACCACATCTTGTTTTCTATTTAATGGTCTGTAATATATTCAAAACGAATTCATCAAAAATTAATTCTTGTTCTTAGGGGTCTGTTCACATCGGTCTTTTATCATCGGTTCAGTCACATCGGTTGTTTGCTAAGAAAAAAAAAAAAACTGATGAATACCAAATTCAGGTCACATCAATTTTGCATGTGTCTTCAGCTCATGTCACATCAATTTGCACATGCATCATCAGTTCAGATCAGTTTATATATGACATTGTGGGCACTGACTAACAGACATCACCAGTGACACTAATCCAGTGATCATTGCTAATATACACTGTCACTGTACGAACATGAGGTAGAAAGGGGTTAACATCTGGGGCAATCAAAGGGTTAACTGTGTGCCTAGCAAGTTTTATTATGTTAACTTAGTGCTGTTTTTACTAAGGTGTGTGACTTTTTATTCCCTGCTTTGCAGGGAGACAAACACCGCCACATTCCCATTGTCAGTAGAAAGATCTGTGTTGTTTGTTTACAAACACAGATCTCTCGCCTGTCTCCCACTCTGATGATCAGTGGGTCCCAGCCATGAATCATAGGCTGGGACCAGCTGATCGGCATCTAAGGAAACCAGTAAGCGCAGCCGGGTGGACGGGCGTGTACGCCCCCTACCCGGAAATAAACAATCACGTCTGTTTACATGATTCCGCGCAGCCAAACAGCAATGTAGCAGTAAAACTCCCATGCGCAGTCAGCAAGCAATTAAGCTGTCGCAAGAATGAGAAGATTTCCTCTTCATTGCTTCTCTGGTGACGAATACAAATTTTGGATTTATTTTTTCCTAGGCTCCTGTCATTATGATGACCAGAACAAAATAGAATCTCTCGAGAGTAGACAGTTAATAAAACATGAGACAAGGTTATAAGTAAGTTGTCAAAAAAACAAATTCAAGCCTCAACTACAATAAGGTGTAGGAGAGGGGATCCCTCCAGGTTTCTTCTTTTTTAAATGATACCCTTTTGATACAGTTCTAATGTTCCACAGAGACTAAAAATCCCAATGATCCTATATCCTGTGCTCCTTTCCATCTGTGGTTCGGAGTTTGGGGAGGAACACCAAAAATGTCTAAAAACATGTTTAATGTTGACTGCTTCTTACCTTTGGAGGGGACAAAGTTCCATTCCTCAAGTTATCTTTTTCTTTTTCTGGGGGTGTGAAGTCCACTTTTATTGAACTAAATAAAATATAAAATATCAGAATATGTAAAGAAAAAACAAAAAAAAAAAAGACAATGTAACAAAATCAACTTGTTACTTGCATATGGGACATCTTTGCGCTCTAACAGACATCTGTACACACAGGAATATAGCCCTGCGCATTTCTGGAAGACCAATGTCCACCATAATATGAACAGAACCCGTTCAAGTGGAACTAAACCCACCAAATTTTTCAGTTTTCAAAAAGAAAGCTCAAGTTAGAAATGGTCAATAAATATATTTAAATCCTTAATGAATCATAACAAGGTCCTTTACTGAAGTGTTTTTCTGGACATTCTACCTACTAGCGCTTGTGCAGAGTAGGATACATTCAAGGCATGCCTCTGATGACCATTGTCTGCTCTTAATCGAAATTTCAAGCAGCCAAATGGCCACCGTCATAGCTGGTCACATGTGCAGCACCTTGGTAACTGCAGATCGAAACGTAAGCCAAGATGGTGCCATCTTTGGCTGCAAAAGGATCAGAAGGATTAGTTCCGTGTAAGGAAACAAAAAAAAAAAAAAACAAAAATTAAGTATTACATACACTCACCGGCCACTTTATTATTAGGCACACCTTGCCAGTACCGGGTTGGACCCCCTTTTGCCTTCAGAACTACCTTAAATCTTTGTGGCATAGATTCAACAAGGTGTTGGAAACATTCCTCAAAGATTTTGGTCCATATTGACATGAGTTACTGTTGCCAATCATCTCGAACCAGTCTGCTCATTCTCCTCTGACATCCATTAGGCATTTTTATCCACACAACTGTCACTCACTAGATATTTTCTCTTTTTCAGACCATTCTCTGTAAACCCTAGAGATGGTTGCAGTTGAAAATCCCAGTAGATCAGCAGTTTTTGAAATACTCAGACCAGCCCGTCTGGCACTAATGACCATGTCACATTCAAAGTCACTTAAATCCCCCTTTCTTCCCCATTCTCAGCTTGAACTTCAGCAAGTCATCTTCACCATGTCTAGATACCTAAATGTATTGAGTTGCTGCCATGTGATTTGGCTGATTAGCAATTTGTGCTACCAAGCACTTGAACAGGTGGACCTAATAAAGTGGCTGGTGAGTGTATATTCCAGATGCATGAAAACAAAAAAGGTCTGTCAAATATTACAGTTCATTTTCTTTGGCCAAAGCCTGGCTAGCAAAGACTAACAAATGCCACTATACTGCAGAGAAAGAACTTTGCCTTCTGTATGGAATCAGTGGTCATTCTGCAGAGGCTGTTTTCTGGTGAGCCAAAGTTTATGCGGATTGAAGAACTTTGCTGACTGTAAATGATTGCAGTATGACACATACCAAACGTTTGTGGAACAAAGAAGGACTAGTACTGTGCCACCCAGATTTTCCCCAAAATACCCAAGTCAGTACCAAAAACTGTCAAATTTGAAGTGGAAGAAATTTTAATCCACTCCAGTCACATGATCCTGCAGCTCCAGATCACAGCTGCTGCAGGGGAGAGGAGGGGAGTACCGGCTGAGCCTAAAGATGACGTCATGGCTCCTGGAATTCACAGCCGTTGTACAGCGCTTCCTTACACAACATTGCAGGATCACGTGACTGGACCAGAGCAGACTGAAAATGGATATGTACATAGATCTTTTACATGGAGGGGAAGAGAAAGGATAATTATAATTCGGCTGTTCCACTTTAAAATCTCACATCTATGCTAGGCAGTCATGGGCAGGGGCGGACTGACAACTCATGGGGCCCCCAGGCAATAGGGGATCATGGGGCCCCTGTGTCCTTGCCCACACTCAAAGCACACCCAAAAAAAGCCTATAAAAAAAAAAGGTACCAGTGGCATTTCATGGGGCCCCCTACTGACCCCGGGCCCTTGGGCCATGCCCGAGTGCTCAAATGGTCAGTTCGCCCCTTGTCATGGGAGATGACATTTGACAAAATACAGTCCAGTTAAAAAGACACATTTGACAAAAAACACAGTCCAAGCTAGAAGGAATTAAAAGCTCACCTCTGATTCCCCTCCTGTTGTTCAACCATTACATCTTCCTCGGCTTCATCTGGTGCTTCCATGACCCCATACAACTCTGGAGGAATAAAAAGGTCTTGGTTGACACTGTTTACCCAGCGTCTCTTTGAACTGTCCTTATTGAGCTCACTTAGCTCGGCTAAAACACAAAAAAAGTTACCGTTAACGTTTTCTCCAAGTAAAACACTGAAGGAAGAGGAAGACAAAAAGGCATCTAATTTCTACTGGCAGAGTATATCATGCCATGCATTGGCTTGCAATATATGCCATATATCGGGCTGAGGGTGGTGTTGATCAGGCTACTGTGTGCAAAATTTGCTCTGCTGCTCTAAGTGTAATGACTAAGCTTCCTTGGCCTCCCTCTTGCAATGTCCTTATTTCACTATACATACTGTTGTGCTATATGCTCATCTCTATGACTTTTCCAAAGCTTCCCCCATCCTCTGGAACTCTCTACCCCAATTTATCAGACTATCGCCTACTCTGCTCACTTTTAGGCGATCTCTGAAAACCTCTTCAGGGAAACCTATCCTGCCCTCAGCTAATAATGGAATCTTCCACTCTTCCAACCAGTCCATCCCCCACAGTTACTACCTCTTGTACCACTAGCCCCTCCCTCTTAGATTGTAAGCTCCAAGGAGCAGGCCCGCCTAACCCTCTTGTATTGAACTGTATTGTTGCTGTATTGTCTCCCGTTATATTGTAAAGCACTGAGCAAACTGTTGGTGCTATATAAATCCTGTATAATAATAATAACCACAAACAACAACAACCACCACAAATAACCACCACAACCAACAACCACACAACCACCCACACCACCACCACCACCACCACCACCACCACCACCACCACCACCACCACCACCACCACCACCACCACACAACCAACCACCACCACCACCAACCAACCACCACCACCACCAAACCAACCACCACCACCAACCACCACCACCACCACCACCACCACCACCACAACCAACCACCACCACCACAACCAACCACCACCACCACCAACCAACCACCACCACCACCACCACCACCAACCACCACCAACCACCACCACCACAATAATATTGCTGAGGGAAGCTCTTAAATTACATTCTCTGTATAAGGCTTAAATTCACCCAAAGGCTCCCATCTATTTCTGGTTGAAAGTAGCAGGATGCACGCAATGGGGTTGACTTACTCAACGTGGAAGAGCATGTTCATTTTGCAAATGAGAAAAGCCAAAATAAAAATTTGGAGAATAAGAATATCCAATCATATGCAAGGGAAAAACAAAAAACGGAGGATGCTTGCTTGCACGATTAAATGTCAACACAACCTCACATCATTTGCGAAGCTAAGTGAATTTTCTATTTGCAAGGTGAATTTTCACTTACCTAAGGAATGAGGTAAAGTTGTGCGGAAAATCTAATCATTCAAGAACAAAAATCTTTTTTTTTGTCCACCTTACATATGATCCGGTATTCCTTTCAATGTGAATCATAGCAGTAGTAGTCTTGTACTGTGTTGGTCATCGAGCAATGCAGAACGTTTGTAGTGTAAGCAATATGTAATTCGGGGTATTAAAAGATGCAAGCTTTCAGGTCCCCTTAGACGTCACCCAGATGGGCGCTGTACCCCAGGGTACATTAACCAGGTGAGGTAGGACTGTATTGGGGCAACTATTCCACCACAAGGCAAAATGCTTTGTCTCCTACCTGGCTAATTTACACCACCGTGTCGCTGTGATGTGTGCTGAAAGAGAAAAAAAACACTGCACTACTTTTTTCAGCGCAGCCAGTACATTTCAATAAAGTAGATTTAAAAAAAAAAAAAAAATGGCACTGCTATCATCCTAATGCACACCAGCGTTCTAATGCAGCATCTGGTGTGCATGCACCCTGAATGACCACCTTGTTCACTCAACTTCAACTGCCAGGTGCTGTGTGTGCAAGCAGCCTATTCAGGTCTACAGGGATATAGGGGCTACTTGGGTTCACTTGTACCCACGCGGCAGTCAAATTGGGACCAGAGTGTGGTCTGTGCAACCACTGCATCCCAATAGACATGAATAGGCTGCATGCAAGTTGCATAAACAAGACACTCATTCACAGACTACGGGTGTCAGCGCCCATCTGGATGAGGCCTAAAAGCACTCTGGACTAATTTTTTTTTCCCATGCAGTGGAGCTGTGCCTGCACGGGTTAACTGCTCATTTTATCTAGGGGTGAACACAGAGCCTATACTCACCTAATCCTTCAAAAAACAGCACCCCCCCATGTCCAGCAGTGGATTGTTCCGGACAGCTTCACATCCACAGCCAGTCTATGGGCGTGATAACGTCAGGAACATTCCAACGCACAAGATCGCTAGACCGTGAAGACGGGGCAGCAGCCACATGGATTGGTCTTGTGCTGGGAGGATTAGGGGGGAATATATCTTGGCTCTCCAATCCTTTAGACAAAAAGTGGCAGTTAACCCATTCAGTGTGGGCACGACCCCACTGCATGGGAAAGAAAAAGGAGCCTGGGGTTCAGCTTTAAATCTCATCCTTCACCCAAAAGGGGACGTTCCGCTTTTCTACCCCCCCACCCTCACAACATTAGTAATAATTTTTTTGGGGAGGTACCTAGTTTTAAGAGGTACCTGCTCCCACTTCCGCTCCAACCACCTAGGCAGTTGGAGTGGTGACTGGAGTGGAAAGTCTACCCCCTCCCCACTTTGCCTGCAGCCTTCCGGGACACTTCACAGATCCAAGACGTCTGCGGGACCATTCACAGATCCAAGACGTCTGCGGGACCATTCACAGATCCAAGACGTCTGCGGGACCATTCACAGATCCAAGACGTCTGCGGGACCATTCACAAAGGGCAGCAAGGCTTGCACATGCGCAGTGGGAAGTTGGCTGTGAAGTCGCAATGAGTCACAGCTGGTTTCCCACAGCTAACATGCTGGTGCAGGGAACGCGAAGACTGGCGAAGAACCGGCCTTACCAGGTACAGACAGCACTGGACCCCTGGATCGAAAAGTGTGTTTTTTTAGGTTTGTAGCTGCTGACTTTTACATTTTTGTTTCCAGATCGAATATCCTCTACAATTGTACAAGCTTGCATCTTTAACTTGAGTTAGCCAATAAAACGTACATTTAATACTACAAAATGTCAGCATTTCAACTCATTTACTATGGTGAATGCCAATTCCCTTTTAAAAGAACAAAAAACTCTACTCATTTCAGAAACTCCGGGTCAATGTGTGTGGCTACAGACTGAGGCGGGTCGTGTTTGGGCTGGGGGCACTGAATGGCATTTAAAACTGTGTGCAGCCTGCAGGGTCAACAGAAGCGAAAGTACCACAAAAACTGCAGAATAGGTATCCTTGCATTGAAAAAACGAGAATTAGAAATAGGTGCAAAAGGCTGATGTACAGGCTGTTTCGATGAGTGGTAGTGAGTGAACACAGTGCTATGAAGATAGGAGTGGATATTTTAAGGAGGCGATTTGTAACCAACATCCATGCAGCAAATGCCTGATGCAAATCCATAAGAAACAAGAGACAGGTTTAGCAGTAATACCTAAGACTCTAACCATTCTCTACTCTGTAGAAAACTAAAATGTGCTGGAAAAATTAAATTTGCAAAACTCAGTGGAAAATTCACCATACATCTTCCAATATACAACTCAATGACACCATATTTGAAAAACTAGGGCTGTACTCAGCTATAAGTGACTGAATCTATTCAATCAGTCAATGAGCTCCACATCAAGCCTGTAAAGAGAAGTATAATTCTGTACGCATGTGTTCATTAAACAGAACGCACTGAAGGAATAAGAACAAAATGGGTCCTTTATATTTTATCCCTTTAGTTCTAAGGAGGACAAAAGGAATTTCTTGGTCAGGGCTGCCAAGAAGGAACAAGTAGAAGTATCATTTTGCGCACAAGCTTGCCCCATCACCTCCATGGAGAGAAAAAAAAAAAAAAAAAAAGGATGGGAGACAATATTAAAAGCAAGGACACCATACAAACCTAAAACATGCATCACCCACCTATTGTGGCTGGTTTTTTCCTTTTCCTAATCGATGCTCTGACCAGGTCGGCTCCATGAATTTTCTCTCGGTGACGTTTTGATTTTGCGTCGTAAAACCATTGTCCACTTTTGTATTTATACTCATTTTCATCATCCACTACATCTTGCAGTTGCCTGTAAAGAAACAAATGCAGTGATGTACACATTTTAGGTAGATTCTGCACAACAGTTACAGGAGCATATGAGCTTTTTAATGACCTATAGGTTTGTCTGACTTGCACCTCAAGGACGTCATCTCTTGTCAGACCTTAGGTACAGGTGCACTCGTGTTCCACCAATAGCTTCCAGGTAAGCTCCCCAATGAAAAGATGGTGTAAAAAGGTGCATCAGCAATGCAATTTCTCTTACCCTAACTTGCAAAGTGTATCATATGCAGGCTCTCACCATGTCAATGGCACCAGATATTCTGAAGGCCAGTAATGTGAAGTTGGTCCATCAACAGCTTCTATTAGTCTGTAAGGACTTTACATTAAATTTGAAATATTGTTGGGGAAATCTGCTTCCATTCGGTCATAGGAGCATTAGTAAAAGGGTCATGAATATTGGGTTATTGAACTTTGCTTGTGGTTAGCATTCCAGTTCATCCTATAGGTAAGGGTATTGAATTCAAATTCACAGAGATCCAACCAGTAAAATGTTCTTCTAGCAGAGGCCCAAATCGCGTGTTTGTCCAAAGACTCAGATCCTTCACATCACAACTCCCCTCTCCTTTTATATCACATTCCCATTCTTACATCAGTGTCCTTTGCCCCTTCACAGTAGTGTTCTGAACCCCCTTCACATCATTCCCCCTGCTGCCCCCACACACACAGCAGTGTCGTCTGTCCACCTTCACATCACCTCCCCCCTCCGTAGTGTCCTCTGCTTCTCCAACATCACCACCACCACAGTAGTAGTGTCCTCCTCTGCCCCCTCCCCCCATAGTAGTGTACCCTGTCCCCGTCACACACCACCACCCCCTTCACATCAACCCCCCACCCATAGTAGTGTTCTCTGCCCCTCTACATCACCCCCCCTAAAGTAGAACTCTTTGAACATTCACCTGAAGCTTCCCCCACCCTTCAAAGCCAGCCCCCCCAACTCATATTAAAGAGCTGGTAATTGGTTGCCATGTCCTAGTAACCAATCACTTGCTAGTTAATCTGAAAAGTATTCTTGGGTAGCTCCCGCTCCCACCCTCGATGCAATGCTACTGTGCCTCCCACTCTTGATCTGTCCCTCCTCCTGCTCTCCATTCTGCTATGTTAATGACAGCGGCGGAGGCTGGGGGACAGAACTAACTCCTAAATGGTGCAACCGTGGGTCTGAATGGGACAGTGACTCAGTCTGGATCTGGACCACAGTCTGACATTTGGGTGTGCCTGCTTAAAGGTGTTCAGTTGGGCTGAGATCAGGGTTCTGGGCAATCCAGTGCCTCCATATTGTTTTAATTATTAGAACTGTTACCACGAGGTTGGAAGTACAAAACTGTCTAATGCAGGCCATAGACGGGTCGAAAATCGGCCGATTTTTATTTAAAAAAACTGAAAAATCGGTCGTTCAAGTGGCCGACGTTATCAGCAACGGTATTTAAAAAAAAAAAAAAAAAAAAAAAAAAAAAAAAACGGCCGATTTTCATCCCGTCTACAGCCGGCAAAAAGTGTCCCTGCAGAGAGCTCTGCTATTTCTTTGACAGTTCCTTGACATTTATAGCGGTTGCAACAATGTATCTATTTGTATCCATTTAGGATACAGATGGTTTTATTCGGAAACTATTTGTTTCCGAAAAAACCATCTGTATCCTAAATGGATACAAATAGATACATTGTTGCAACCGCTATAAATGTCAAGGAACTGTCAAAGAAATAGCAGAGCTCTCTGCAGGGACACTTTTTGCCAGACAGGAATTCCTCCTCTTCTCATCCCCTCTCCCTCTCCTCCTCATCCCCCTCTCCTCCTCATCTCCCATCCCCTTCCCCCCTCTCCTCCTCATCCCCTCATCCCCTTCCCCCCTCCTCCTCCTCATCCCCTTCTTCCCCCCTCTCCTCCTCCTCCCCTTCTTCCCCTCCTCCCCCTCATCCCCTTCCCCCCCTCCTCCTCCCTCCTCATCCCCTTCCCCCCCCTCCTCCTCCTCCTCCTCCTCATCCCCTTCCCCCCCTCCTCCTCCTCATCCCCTTCCCCCCCTCCCCTCATCCCCTTCTTCCATTCTTCTCATCCCCTTCTTCCTCTTCTCTCATCCCCTTCTTCCTCTTCTTCTCATCCCCTTCTTCCTCTTCTTCTCATCCCCTTCTTCCTCTTCTTCTCTCATCCCTTCTTCCCTCTTCTTCTCATCCCTTCTCTCCTCTTCTTCTCATCCCCTTCTTCCTCTTCTTCTCATCCCCTTCTTCCCCTTCTTTTTGTCGGTCACTGCTCATGCGCAGGTTTTTTTTTTTTTTTTTTTATCGGTAAAAGATCCGCCGATTTGCTCATCATTGCCGTGAAATTGGCCGATCGGCAAAATCGGGCCATTTTTTTCCCCAACTTTACCGAATAAAAAATATCTGCCAAAACACCGAAAAATTTAGCCCACTAACGATCCGAAAATCGGCCGATTTTATTTTCTGCCGCAAAATCGGCCGATTTTCGATCCATCTATGGCCTGCATAAGGCTGGCCATACATTATACAGTTATCTTCCAATTTTCTGCCCAATTTCCAATAGATTTACCTTCAACTGTGTAGTGCAAGGGCCTGCCTAATTGGATACAACTAAAAGTGTTGTTTAGGTTTGTCCTCCTATTATATGGTTTTTGGTAAATCTAAACCAAAAATCTCCAGATAATTGTTTAATGTATGGCCAGCCTAAATGTCTTTGTATGCTGTAGCATTAACAGCACCTTTCACTGGAAACCCATGAATTCAGTCATTTGGAGGTGTCCACATACCTTTTGCCTTATAGTATAATAATGAATCCTATTCCTATTTGAATTACCTAATACAATTTAAAAGTCATTCTTTTGTGTCTCTCATCTGAGACTGTACACCTTGTAATTCTTTCTTATGCCTGTGTACATTTGGTGTACTCGGTGAGAGAGAATTATCTAGTGTACATATTTGAACAATAGATTGTCTGATTACAATGTATTAATACTCAGAAGTGACTCAGAGATTATGCAGGGAGGAATATGATTAAACAGCATCACAGTTATCACATGTAACTAATGACTTCTTTATATCTACTCTTAGAACTGTTACCACAAGGTTGGAAGTGCAAAACTGTCTAAAATGTCTTTGTATGCGGTAACATTAACAGCACCTTTCACTGGAAACACCTGAAGGTAATCAAAGGGAAAAAAGGTATCCATATACAGTGCCTTGAAAAAAAAAAAAATATTCACACCCTTTGAAATGTTCCACCTTTTGTAATGTTACAGCCAAAAACGTAAATGTATTTTATTGGGATTTTATGTAATAGACCAACACAAAGTGGCACATAATTGTGAAATGGAAGGAAAATCAGAAATGGTTTTCAACGTTTTAGAAATAAATGTCTGAAAAGTGTGGCATGCATTTGTATTCAGCCCCCCGGAGTCAATACTTTGCAGGACCCCCTTTCGCTGCAGTTACAACTGCAAGTCTTTTTGGGGGATGTCTCTACCAGCTTTGCACATCTAGAATGTGAAATTTTTGTCCATTCTGCTTGGCAAAATAGCTCAAGTTCTGTCAGATTGAGAATCTGTGGCAAGGCTTGAAAATTGCTGTTCAGGGACACTCTCCATCCAAATTGGATTTAGGCTTGGACTGGGCCATTCAAATGCATGAATATGCTTGATCTAAACCAGTGGTTCTCAATCTTCCTAATGCTGTGACCCTTTAATACAGTTCCTCATGTTGTGGTGACCCCCAACCATAAAATTATTTAACCAGTAATTATAATTCATGAGTGTCGTTTTACCTCCAATACTGCTGCTTTACTACACAGCAGCTGCTCTCTACACAGCAGCTGCTCTCTACACAGCAGCTGCTCTCTACACAGCAGCTGCTCTTACACACACATCGCAAATATGTGTTTTCTGATGGTCTTAGGGGACCCCTGTGAAAGGGTCGTCCGACCCCCAAAGGGTCGCGACCCACAGGTTGAGAACCACTGATCTAAACCATTCCATTGTAGCTCTGGCTGTATGTTTAGGGTCGTTCTGCTGGAAGGTGAACCTCCACCCCAGTTTCAAGTCTTTTGAAGACTAACAGGTTTTCGTCTAAGATTGCCCTGTATTTGGCTCCATCTTTCATCAACGCTGACCAGCTGAAGAAAAGCATCCCCACAACATGATGCTGCCACCACCATGTTTCACAGTGGGGATGGTGTGTTCAGGTTGATGTGCAGTGTTAGTTTTCCACCACACATAGTGTTTTTGCTTTTAGGCCAAAAAGTTCAATTTTGGTTTCATCTGACCAGAGCACCTTCTTACACGTTTGCAGTGTCCCCCACATGGCTTCTCGCAAACTGCAGGCGGGACTTCTTATGGCTTTCTTTAAACAATAGGCTTTCTTCTTGCCACTCTTCCATAAAGGCCAGATTCGTGGAGTGCACGACTAATATTTGTCCTGTGGACAGATTCTCCCACCTGAGCTGTGGGCCTCTTGGCTGCTTCTTTGATTATTGCTCTCCTTGCCCAGCCTGTCAGTTCAGGTGGACGGCCATGTCTTTGAAGGTTTGCAGTTGTGCCATACTCTTTCCATTTTCGTATGATGGCTTGAACAGTGCTTGAGATTTTTTTTTTAAAGAACTTAACCCTGCTTTAAAAGTCTGCTCAACTTTATCCCTGACTGGTCTGGTGTGCTCCTTGGCTCTCATGATGCTGTTTGTTCACTAACGTTTTCTAAAAACCTCTAAGGGCTTCACAGAACAGCTGTATTTATACTGAGATTAACCCCTTCGCGCCAGCGCCTCCCGGTCCTTTAAGGGTTTCAGAAGCCAAGAGGCAGGGCGGGGCTTAGAGTCATGTGACTGCCGTGACATGCCGTCACATGATCGGGAAAGGTCCCGATAGAGGAGATCGGGACCTTTCCGTGAGTACCGGACATGTGTGCAGGGAGCGCAC